CCCCAAAACCCCAAAACCCCAAAACCCCAAAACCCCAAAGCTCTTAAATATAATTGAGCTGATCTGGTTATGAAATGTTTGAATACTTCCTCCCTTCTGAGGTTGGTTTCAGCCTGAAATCAATCTCATCTCCAGTGTAATTATAGTACTTCATCTCTTTTTTCCCGCTATTGAAGAAGGAAGTATTATTCAGCTTCGAACCTGAGGCTAATTGCACTAAAAGTTATTTCCAAAACTATACGTTTATCCTTGCGTGCTTTCCTTAAGACAGGTTCGAAAGTTTTGAAATCAGGCTGTAAGGGAGCTTCAGGGATTGGTAAGAACCCTGAGTAGTTCTTCTTAAGAATTTCCTCTATCTCAATTTCTAAAAATAGTCAACAGAAAGAGTACGTTTAACCACCCTCATTCTTGGAGTCTTAGACTTGAAATCATCAGCTGGCTTATTAAACTTATGCTCGTACTACAGCTATTCGCTGAGACTTACCTTCAGAAGTGAAGCTTTCTTCAGCAAGTCATAGCTCCTGAAGTTCCTTGAGGTTGAGCAGTGCGGGACCTAAAATTATGAAGGAATTTTGTACTTTGAGACCAAGGAATCTTGCCTTGGCAAATTTTGTAGCTAAAATTAGGATTAGAAGAATACTTGGAATTTTAGAGGGACGTTTGGATGAAGCTTTGGGGGTTTGAGTGGTCTCTTTGTCTTCTTCTATGTGAAATGAGGCTTTTGAGAATTTGGAGTAAAGGAGTCGATGATATAACTTGTTTGGGATTTTATATGGTTGGTAGATTGAAACTGAAGAGGCGCTTATATGAATTTTATTAGTTTTTAAGGAGAGAGGTAAGAAAGATAGTTTGGCGTTAAATGCTCTTTTGAAATTAATTTACCCAAAATTTGATCTGGAAGATATTTGATGGTAGATGGTAATAGCTCAACCTGAACTTCTTTATTAAGCCTATCTCAAACTTCAACTATAAATCAATTCCAAATGTTACCAGCCAAGAGATGTTTCATTGCAGGCTTCCTGGATACCACTCCTGTTGGCATTCTCTCAAGATTAACTGAGCCAAACCCATGCTGAGTCCTAAACATCACTTCCAAATCCTACTCTGCCTGAGTCTGTCACTCAAAATCTACGCCAGGAGTTTTCTTCCAACTTAAATCTTGATTTTCTACAGCTTTATTTGCAAATTTCTCAATTTTCTAAATTACCTCTTCTGAGAAAATCCTCGAGATCTTTGCTCTCAAGTTTATTTCTAAAACTTAGAATAAAATTACAGTTAGAGACCTGACCAATAGTTTGTTCTTCTTCAGCTCAGACTGAGTATTCTCTAAGTTTTGCAGGAATAACTTCTTCTCATCCTGTAGATTTGTGATCTGTCTGGTGAGAGTCTTCACTTGGATTTCCTTGTTAAAATTTTGCTCTTCCAATTTCTTAATTCTTGTGTTTTTCTAAATGTGATCGATGAGAGTACTTTTTTAATGAGGTTATAGAACTTTTTTCTATATATAGTTAGTTGGAAGATACTTCTCATGCTCAACTTGTAACTCGAGGTCTCTACGATCACGAGAGATTAGAGAGAAATCATCCTTCACTAATTTCAGTTTTGACACTAGCTTTTTATTTGCTTCATTTTTCTCTTCAACTTTAACCTAAAAATTAAAAAATTCTATACCTTAGATTTTTGTAAGAGTTTCTTCATAGCCTCAAGCTTGACCAACAAAGGATCGGGCAACTCAGTCATCGTAGAAGCCTCCACTAACTCCGGCTCATCATCCATATCAAAAACAGTATTTTTCCTACCTAAACCCATAAATTTCAACCCCTACTAATCCCTGAATGAATCTTATCAAACATAATCTTTGCCGTATTAACCTGCAACCCTTGCGCACTAGTCTTAAATCCACTCTCAAGCGTTCCATATCTCTCATAATCCTTAATATTCGTATCTGAAAAAGCAGGAAATAGCCTAAAAGTCACCTCCCCACCTACCTCGCATTAGCTTCCATATTATGATGAATCTCACTCAGTTGGAAATCGACGCCTGAGAACTTCTTGTTCTTAATATTTTCTGGAAATTAAGCTGAAAAGTACCGATTTGTTCTATATCTTTAGTCAGGTTTATTCGGTCGTATTCTTGGAGAGCATGGTCAATTTTTTGTTGCTGCTCGAAGGAGTTTAAGCTGGGACTGGAGAGTTTGAATTTGGAAAGGAGGTTTAGGAGTTTGTGGTTGTCTTTTGTGTGAAGGATTAGGGATCTTGTTAGCATCTTAATCTCGTTTACATATCAAATTTGGAACTTATTTGAACGTATCTCTGACTAAATGGCAAATACAGAGTTCGCTAAATGTTCTACTTGAAATCTTACTCAGCAGGTATGGAATGCGTCTTCTTAATCTACAAATATTTGTCAGGGTTTACCTCAAACAGTTCTGAAATTAGTTGATCTAATCACTTTTGAGTATCTATGGGAAATAAGATGAAAACAATAAAAGGCAGTATTTAGCAATAGACTTACCTCTTAAGCTAATTTAAAGACGAAAATGGGTCCCAGTACAGCCCTTTACGCTTTTCCATTCTTTTAAGATTGCCTATGTTAAAAATGATATGCACTAAATCTGACAAAATTTGAAATAAAAAATAAAGCATAAATGATCAAATTAAGCCAAATCTATCCTACAAAAGGACAATTTTAAGTCCATAAAAATTATCAATCCCAATTTTCTCAGCTTCCGACTTCATCAGCCTGCAACATACATTGTTTGAACCTCTAAATCTCAATCAAACACCTTCAACTCACTTCATCAATCTAAAGTAACCACAAAAAACTCACCTTCATCGCTAATTCCTCCAATATCTCTGACTCCATCACCTTATTTCCCCCTGTCTTGACCTCCTGAGGTTTCTATCCCATCACAACCCTCATCACTCCAATCTTACCATATAAAACCCACCCATTTTCGATTCACAAAGATCTTTCAGCTTTATTTTGGAAATCTTCGAAATCTTAGCTATATATTCTGGAACACCTTGGGTTCTTTCTTGTACACAAAATCTTTCTCTTTCAAGTCAGCCTATTTTCAAAACAGTTAGTGAATCCGAGATCTTGAAGAACAAGTATTTGCAGGTTAGAAGGGAAGTTTAGTGAAGAAAGATTTAGGTGGCTGAATGGAGAGTCCTGAGAAGGAAGGTTTGGGGGTTTTGGGGAAATGGGTAGGTGAAGGTGGCTGTTTGGGGGTTGGAAAGGGGATTTGGGAGGGAACTTGTGGTGGAATTTGGGTGGATTTAGAAATGGATGTTTTTTGGGGGGTTGTGAGGGGAAAGGAAGGTTAGGTGAGGTATTAGTGTTTGAGAGTTTTTTGGAAGGGTTTTTGTATGGATGGGTTTAAAGTAAATTTTTGGCCAAGATAGGCTTTAGAAGTCATTTTTTGAGGTAAGAATGATTTCTACTTAAAATGAAACTGAAAAAAATAAAGCAATTCTTTATATTTTTGCACAAATGCTACCAAAATTCACAAAATCATAAAATCTTTAAAACTTACCTTCTCTATCCCAATCTTTGGTCAAAGGCTCTCAATGGGTTTTAACCCTCCTTCCAGCCTTCTAATTCCTCTTCCACTTTTCATCACCTGTATCCATATAATCCGGAGTCCTTGACACCTTAATCCTTGAATACAAATTTCTCCTCTGTTTTAACTTCTTCTGCCTAAAAATCTCCTTTCTCACTTACGAATTTGGTGTCTTTGTCTTTGTCAGTTTCAAGCCAGAATTCTTCTAAAACCGCTAAACCTCAAAATACCTAAAACTCGACTAGGACGTACCATTACTGGCTTAGAAACCGAGCTGAGCCTGGGCGCCTGCGTACTGGATTCCTAGGGATGAAACAAGGAGTTACTTTGGAATCTTGAGTGAATTTCAAGGTGTTTGAACACCCTGGCCCATCAAGGTTCATTTCTAAATCTAGGGGGTTAGGATGGAAAAGATTAGGCAAGTTTTGGGGGTGGGAGAGCGGAGTGAAGAAGGGGATTTTGGAGATTAGGATGTGGGAAAGGAGTTAAGCTTTTAGAGGGGTGAATGGTTGGGGAAGAGTTTTCCCAAAATGATCGGAAATAGTCTGATTCCACTTTTATAAATAACGGAAGATTAAGATTGCAAATAGTAATACTTCTTCCCATGGATTTATAAAGCAATATAAGCTCTGTTATAATTTTAACAAAATCTTAAAACGTCTGAAACCACCGGTCATTCCCATCTATTCCCAAAGCAGCTCCACAAATCCCTATAAACTCCAAAATTATCTACCTTCAAACATTCATTCTTTCAACTGATGATATTCTATAAATAATCAATACCCAATAACTTACTTTTACAATTCCTATTCTCTGGAGTCAAATATGCTCTTGACCTCTCCCTCAAAATCTCATTCCTACTTAATTTGTGAAGGGATTTATCGAGTCTTTTGGTCTGTTGAAGTGTGGTTAGTTTGGACTTGAGTGACTGGAGACTTTCCATGAGGAGTTTGAATTAATTATTTATATCAAATTTTGTTGGTTAGTGGGGTTTTGGGGTTTTGGGGTTTTGGGGTTTTGGGG